AAACACTTTGAGTTGCATCATTAGTTGCCAGTAGATATACACCAGAAGGACTGTTTGGTTGTTTGTCCTTAATCTCTTGACAAGAAGTAGGGATGGGAGAGAAGGAAGATGAGTCATTGTGTAACATGATAAGATCTTCCACTAGTAGCAGTATATCATTGATAGCTCCAGCATTATAGGTAGCAGTCTCCTTGATATGAGAGAGAGAAGAGATGATACCGTCCACTTTCTGTTTTATTTCTTGAATATCTTGACCATTGTTCCTTGTAGCATTGAGTAGCTCATACAATAGTTCATCATCAGTGTTGTATTGATTGGTATCAGTATTACTGGTATCACTGCAGGTAGTACAGGCTGCAGTACAGGTACTGTTAGCAGCATCAAATGTAAGAGCAAGATTAGAACTACTGATAAACTGAGGGAGACAAGCAATAGCTAGTATAAGAAGAGAGAGCATTATTATCCTCTTTGTAATGATTGTTTACTGTTTACTCCTCCTCCTTTTATAATATTCAGAAGAGCCTGACTAATGACGTCAGACATGATGCTGTATGCAATGGGAAACATTTAAAGAACGTACTCTTGTCTAGTAACTTGTTAACCAAAAATGTTGTAGCATTATCAACTGCCTACCTTTCTGTTCAAGTACATGTAATTGAAATACCATTAAATTTCAATTATTATTTCAAATCAACTCAAAAATAAACCTAACTAACTAGCTGTTACAAAACTAACTAACTAACTAACTACACAGACACTATCTATCAAACTGTTCATCAGTATAATTATTTTCATCATTTGACATGCAACTCATAAAAACTAACAGTAACATCTTCATTATTGGTACATTGATCTCCACACACCCTCAGCTCAAGGTAGTCAGTAGTGGCAGTGTTTAGTACCTTATTGAACCATGGAAGACTAGAACGAGATGTACAACAATTACCTTCAAGAACACACCACATCCTTTACCATCCCACAATGGATCAGTGCCATCATTACCAGCTTCACAGAAGTAGTCGTTACCAATGAAAGACAGAAGAGTTGAGTTTTGAGTACTACCTTGAGAACAAGGACAATTGTAAATACTCTATCAGCATTTTCAAGTGCTCCAGCCATTAGTGTCCAGACATGTTGATGAGGAGACCCACGAGTGATACTAATACCATCAACATAATAAGAATTGATGTCATTGTGATTTTCAAGGCCATAGTAGGTTCAACTGCATCAGGTGTAGCATACATGTATATGAGGGTTCATATATGTATACATACATGACATCTTGGAATATCTATTATAGTCTCGTGACTGAAGGAAGTTATGATAGTACATTCCTTTATCATAACAACCAGTAGTAAAGGTGAATCTACATTAACGAATGAGAATGAAAAAAGCAACTGAAATTCTGAGATCTTCATTGCCACAAGGTAAAGTTTGCAAGCTATTGGCAAAAGATTTTTTAAGCGTACACAATAATCGCTAAATTAAAAACCGTCAATTAATAAAGTGATGTAAGGTATTATACAGTAGCAGCTGAATAGTCTTGAAGGATCCACATTTACTGATCATTATATTCATAGAGTGGACTATTGACCAATGGATACATGTACATGTACATTAACATTACTTAAATAATACATGTACATGTACAATGTACATCAATCATTAGAAGAATGTAAAATATTAAAGAGATCCGCCCACTCACCATACCCCGCATGTACATTTACATCTACACAAACTACATGTACATGTAATTCACTATAAATAATATCTAATTAACAATAATAGTAATAATAATAATAATAATAATAAATTAATAATCAAACCTGAAAACTGCCTGCATAGTTCCAGTAATATAGTAGGATAGTCTTCAATTATTAATGAGGAGGTGGGGTCACAATCAGGTGTGACTGCTGGGAGAGAGGGATGTGTGAAGTCATTGTGCAATAGATTGTGTCTTTTACCGATCACAGCAGCTA